AGTTGTCTAACCAGGTACTACTTCCTGAGCCATCCATTCCTAAGAAAGGGGACAGTTCCTCCTTATATCCCTTTTAATAAAAACATCACAAATATGCCATGTATATCTAATGGTAGACGTTTCCCCTTCCAATAAAGAAACTGAACCTTTTCTGGTGGAGCTTGTCAGTGTAAGTATTACAGGGCTTTCTCTTCAAGGCACACTTCATACATTTCCTTCCTCCTCTCCAGTTATGATAGCTTTGGCAACAGTCTCAGACTTCACTCCTCAAAATGACATGTTCATTTTTCTAAATCTAAAACTCAGCAACTTTATTTTTACTAAAAGTCATACAAAAACAAAATAGAATTCAGAATCCAATCTGATAAATTATTTGCAATGGATCATTCTAAACATTGGGGTCAAACATCACCAATTGGGATTATTTGTCTTGAAAACTCTGGTGGTTTTATGTCAAAGAAAAATTAAATTTCATTCTGCCAGAGCTGTCTTATGCTATTTCACTTAGCTTTATGTACAAGTACACTAGTAAAAGCACATACATATACTTAGCTATTCAGCCTGTACAGATACATCATGCATTAGATGTTGCTGTGTCTTTGTCATGCTACTTGTGAGCTGCTCCTTCCACATCCATGTCTGAGAGAGGCCATGCCTCCTTGCAGCTTGGGTATACTAAAAATGTGTATATACCTTTTCTCCCAGCAGGAAAAAGATTAGTGGTTTCTCAAGAGCTGCATCCTTCAAGTAGGGCAGGTCAAACTATCTGGGCTCTGGCCTGTAACCAGGGAGAATGGTAGCAGTTAGAGATGTTAAAATGTGTTTATTTTGGTAAACGTGTACCTGCTGAAAAGTACAACAGGTACACATTTACACACCGGAGGATGCTTATGGCCACTCTGTCCATAGTATGCACAGCTTACATGTGAGAGAGCATCCAATGAGTGTGGACGCTGTCTTTTGGAAGAAGTTTTTTTTTGAAGATATCTTCCGAAAAAGCTTCTTTCGAAAAAAGTTTGCAGTCCAGACGTACCCCTAGTGAAAAACTAGACACTTGGTAACCCTAAGGGGGTGTCTACAGTGCACCCGTAGCTTGAAATCAGATATGCAATTTGAGCTATGCAAATTGTGTATCTTTTTTTATGTTATTTCAGAATAAGGCGCTATTCTGAAATGTCCCATAATCCTTGTGCAATGAGGTTTACAGACACGTCGGAATAGCGAGCCCGCTACATTTTGCTATAATGGGCTTGCTCTTAAGATACAGAATAGCTATTTCAGGATACCAGAGGTATCTCGGCTCTGGGCTGGGATATCAGGGTATTGGAAGTATCCTGAAATAGTTCCACAGTGTAGACATAGCCTAAGTGACAATCCCGGAATGTAGGTGAAGGAAGTAAATAGTAGATAATCACTCAACATGGCTCATGCAGTAATTGTCAGTTGGCATATTGGCTATAAATTATCATGGAAATATGGGGCATGAGACTGTGCAGTCCAGAAAGGTAGTGTGTCCTAATATGGCTTTGTCACATTTGCCTCCTCCCAAATCTGGCTTGCTTTGGGACTACATCAGTGAAAGCAGCATGTCCCCAGGTGATATTTAATTTGGGAAGCAATGCAATTTCAACCCAGAAACTCTACAATACTAAGTGCTATTGTAACCCACGCACTGAGGCCATGTCTACACTGCAAAAAGTTCTTGCGCACGAGCACGTCCACACTTCAATGTGCTTTTGCCTAAGAGATGTGCTTTTGCACAAGAGAGCATGCACACAGCTATGGACGCTCTTGCGCAAGAAAGCTCTGATGGCTATTAACAGAATGGCCATCAGAGCATCTTGCACAAAAAGGCTTATTCCTTGTAGAAGAGGCATAACTCTTGTGCAAAAAGCCCTGTCTTCTGACGATCTGCTGTACTTTTTCTTGTGCAAAAATGTGCTTGTAGCATGGACACTCCATGAGTTTTTGCACAAAAATGGCTATTTTTGCGCAAAACCTCTGCAGCATAGACATAGCCCTGGTGGGTGTGGTTCACTGTCCTGCGTAGTGGCACTTAGACCACTTACAGTGAGAGATAAGAACAAGGGAGCTCTACAGTCTAAGCTGAGAGCCAGCTGGCTTTATAGCTCAAGCTGTAGCAGTTTCTGTACTAAGTTTCTAGCAGTTCTATGTTCAAATCCACCTTGTGGTGGTTACAAGTGGGGGATTGTCTGGGATCTCAATTGGCTCTCTGAACCCTAGGACATGCTTCCTTGCCTAAGGGGAAGTATGGAACCCACACACCTAATGGATGTGGTTCACAGTTCTATATAGTGGTGCTTAGACCACTTACAGTGAGAGATAAGAACAAGGGAGCTCTACAGTCTAAGCTGAGAGCCAGCTGGCTTGATAGCTCAAGCTGTAGAAGTTCCTTTCCTAAGTTCTAGTGGTCCTAGGTTCAAATCTGCTTGGAGGTAGGTATGCTATATGTCTGCCCCAATAAGCTCTGGAATCCTAGGAGACAATCTGTGTTTCTTTTCTTGCTCTGGGAAAATCTCCCCTGACTGCATCCAATGTCACCAGCTTCTTCACTCTGCTCCAGACCCTCTACCTACTGCACTGGGGCACGATTTGGAGTGAGACTCTTGTCCAAGGTTGCTTCCCCGAGTCAGGAATGCTTTAAAAAATAATGGGATGCATGTTATTTAGCACCCTCAGCTCTCACTGAACTCCACTCAGGGTTGAGCCCAAAGAAGGGAATTTGAACTCAGAAAAGATAAACTGTTACATTCAGTGTTGTTGTAGCCACATTGGCCCTAGGATATTAGAGCCAGGGTGGGAAACCTAAGGCCCGGGGATGCAACTGGACCCCATTTTCTCTAGATCCAATCCCCCAGAGGCTCAGGGCTTGCCCCCTGCCTCCCAGCATCGGGGAGCCACTGCTGGCGCTCCAGCCCTGCACAGACACACCCTGCCACCACAGCTTCTCCCCACAGCCCTGGAGCGCCATCACCTGTGGAGCCCCGAGCCTCGCAGGCCAGAGTCAGGCAAGCACAGCAACTCCCTCCCACACTCTGAGCCCCTCATTTTTGGCTCTACTGCAGAGCCTAGAGGAGGCCACAAAATGTACTAATCCAATACCCCTTCTGACCCTGGATCTGGTGTGTGAGGGGAATGCAGGGAGTGTCTTTCTGCTTCTCAGTCAGGCGCCACGTCAGTGAGGGTTTTTTGCTTTTCACTTCTGTGTGGCTCCTAACTGATTTTTCTGTGAGTCAGCAGCCCCTAACCCCAAAAAGGTTCCCCCACCTCTCTATTAGAGACAAGGTTGGTAAGAGTTTTATTTTATGGGACCAACTTCACACTTACTCAGAGCTGTTCTTGCCATCTGGGAAATGTACCCAGAGTGTCACAGCTAAATACAATGTAGCACAGATTATATAGCATAAGTAGTTAACATATTTCAAGGGACTATTCAAGGTGAAGTGGCTCGTTAACACCTTTCCAGTAATAGGGGAAAGAAAAGGGAGGGGATTATAGATTGTTGTAAAAAGACAAATCCATTGTGACTGTTCAGTCCATGATTTTTAGTGTCTAGCAAGTTATGAATTTAAGCTCCCAGGATTATTTTTTGAAGGTATTGGTGCAATAAAAGTTACTACCTCATGCACCTTGACTCTCTAAACCAGGGTTTCTTAAATTTCATTGTATTGGGATCCACTTCTGACAACAAAAATTACATTAGACCCCAGGGGGACTGAAGCCTGAGAACTGCCCCCCCCCCCCCCCTTGTTGCCCTAGCCCGGGGGGG